GATGCTTACTGATGCATGCGGTTCTTGATGGTTTGATGAGCGTTGATGGAGATGACAATGATTCTGGAAAGAAACTCGTAATGAACAACTATAATCTTCAAACGAAGAACACAACGGAATTTCTGAGGAGATCTGGATGATCGGACGAACATTGCAAGCAGGTTGAAGGTTGCTTAAGATTAACTAAGAATCTGGCAACAATGTTATGATGCTACTAAGATCTTGGCGGATCCGGAAATTTGTTGATGAAGATCAATATGAATCTTATGGAGAATCTGGAAAATTATTGATGAACTGATGAATCTTGATCGGAAGTGGATCGGAGAAGATGAAGGAATGAGGATTCTGGAGATTTTCTGGAAAAAATTGTGATTCTGATGGTTGTTGTGGTGATTAATCGATGACGGAAACTGGAGATGATGATGAACATATGAAGGTTTTCTGATGAACATGATGACGACTCTTGAAATTGGATGAACAAAAGGAGGCGATGAAGATTGGAAAAACGGTTATGAGGATGGATGAACAAATCTGAAAAAAATGCATGAAGACTTGTTGATGTTGATCCGTGACGAGTTGCTTAACGTGTTTGATGAAGATCTGGCGCTGAAGATTCGTTGAATTTTTGTGATGTTGATGCAGTTTCCGGCGGTATCTCCGGCGGCCATTGATGATGAAGATCGGTCAGAGAAGGAGGTGATTGGAGAGGAAGATGAATCTCTGGAGCCTTTTCAGTTTTCCGGCGGGTTGTTGCGGCGGCCGGAGTCGGTTGGAGGTTGGTTAGGGCGGCCGGAAAGAGTCAGGTACGGGGGTTGCATGGCCGCCGGCCATGCAACCGGTGAGGCTTAGGTGTTGCCAAGTGGCGGGGTTAGTGGAGGGAGTTAACGCATGTTGGCCACGTGGATGGGAGAGGGAGAAGGTGGGGGTTGCGTTGTCAGCGTGTGGGTGAAAATGAGATTATGATGTGGTAGCCTCTGAAGATAACACGTGGCCATGCTTATATAAGGACAAGAATTTTGGACTCAGACTTGGGCTTTGGAAACTCTGGACCTTGCGAACCACTGGGCCCAAACGAAAAAAGGACTGAAACAAACAAAAAAAACCTGATTTAAAATGGACTAATGATGGATTAAGATGTTAATAGACTGAAACGAAAATGGGAATGAATTAAGACTAAACTGAATTAAATGCTAAACATGATTAGTATGAATTAAAAGGCTAATGACTAATTAATTGCTAATGCTAATTAAGACTAATTAATCTAATATTAAATCTACAAAACAAGCTGTATTAATACCTATTAAAAGAAAAATATTCTAGTATTCTAAACTATCTATTTAATACCCACGTACAACTATTAATATCTATAAAACTAATATTAATAAAACTAAACTATTATATTCTAAAAAAAGATTCTATTAATTTCTATAAAGAGATTTACAAAATTAAAATCTATCTCCTATTTAAATTCTATTAAATGCCAATAATATCTAAAAACATATTAAAGCTACTAAAATCTAATATCCTAGAAAGGAAATCTATTTAAAACTATTTAATACATCAATTTAAATTCTAGAAAACCTAACATATTCTAAAAAATGATTAAAAACTATTAAAAGGATCTATTTAAATTCTAACAAATGCTTAATAAAAGCCAATAAAATCTACAAATTTCCTAGCAATTCCCGAAGGAACAAAAACAGTATCAAACAACAGATACCACTGCGAGAGCGCAACAAAATAGCCGGTAAAAATCAATGGACACCGAAATATCCCTAAAAACAACAACGCGAGCTGAAAACACCGGGAAGAGCGCGACTGCTCAAAAATACGATTCTACTTATCTGAACTGATTAAAAACATCTGAAACACGAGGCGAGGGCTGTGATCCCGATAAAATCAAAACAACTGAAAAATGCACTGTATGCGATATGCAGATGCAGATGCAAGAATGCGTCGAAACATCGAGCCAGATACTGGACCCGGTTGGTCAAATTTTAGGGTGCAACAAGGGGCCACCTCTCAATTGCGTAGAATGTCTAGTATACGTCCTTAGGGCGATATGCGACGCATTTGATCCTAGGTTCTAGACTTTAGTACAACATGCATTATAAACAAATCAAGTTCAAAACACTTCTTCTCTAAAAAACACAAAAAACACTTCAAACCTTTTTCATCCTTCGGGATCTTAATCAGGAAAATCTTTTCACATAAAAAGAGTGTCGTTAACTTTTAGTTCTACCGCAAACGATAACGCCTAAGTCTCTAATGGTCGAGCTGCATACACCAACTGGCAGAACTACTTGTTAACCCTACTCGGGCCTAAAAAACTTTTGAACAAACTTGTGTTCCCTGTTAGTCCGAACTACGTTTGCTCTGATCTTTCATACCAGATGAAAGTAGGTAGGCACAAGACGCGATGTCTTGGCGAGCAAGCTTTCCCCCTTTCACCCGTAGTTAGCCAAACTACGTTGACTCTGACTTCTCATTTCAGATGAGATACGTAGGCACAAAGCGTCGTTGCTTTGCCGAGTCACTTCTTTTTTCTTTTGTCCTCAAGCCTGTAGTTAGATAGTTTCAATCACCTTTTTAGATAGAAAACAAGCGTGGATCCCGTCGAGTACGACGGACGTGAGAGGTGCTAATACCTTCTCCTTGCGTAACCGACTCCCGAACCCGAGATTTGGTTGCGATGACCGATCTTATCCCTCTTTTCGTTAGGTTTTTTCTGAGCGTTTCCTTTCCCTCTCTTGGGATAAATAACGCACAGTGGCGACTCTTCTGTTATTGCCGGTCTCGATTTTCGCAGTAACGACACTAAGAACTACATAATTGATAAAATATATTTTCATCTCTTAAAGAATTGATTTATAAAATAGAAATTTTTAACTACATTTTTTTTTTGAAACAGTCAAAAAAATCAATAAAATTATAAACAGGACTAGAAGTGCAAACAATTTAATACATAAAATCTACAGCAAAGATGCAGCAGTAGCTCCAAAGATGAAACACAAGAAAAAACAGCTAACAACAACAGTTGGAAGACAACTCCGACGCCACCATCAAGACTAAGTCTGCAATGATCCAACCATGAAAAAATACTAACAAAGTAAACCTGATGTGCAACAACTCCACGTGGTGTAAGAGTCCCATAATGCTTTGGGCATTTGAAATAAATACTACTACTACTCCTTTTCACTATAAAAGATAATACAACTTTTTAATTAATTGGTTGTTGAATTAATGGTGGTGTGTAGTTTTTGAACTCTCCATGTGTTAACGATTGATTTGCTGTATTTTCTGTTTCTGTCATGTCTTTTGCTGAGATATGGGTGGGATATTCTATTCCTGGCATATCATATCTTTTGCTGACATATGGGATATGTTATTAATGTCATTTTCTTTGTTTTTATTTTAAATTATTTCTTCCATCTACTTTAATGGATAGTTTCACACATATCAATAAATAAATAAAATAGATAATGATATTTTTATTAAATATTTTTTTATCAAATATTAAATTTAATATTTCTCTAGTTTTAAAATTATTTTTTAAAAATTATTGTATATAAATTTTTTTTAAAAATGTAATAACTGAGTAATTAAATGTGGCAATTTTATAAAAGTATTTTTAATATTATTGGTTGTCATTATAATATAATAGTTTGAATTAATTTAGACAAGGTAAAGATGAAAAAATAATTTATTTTAAAACAACAAATAAATTAATAAAGCAGGCATAAGAAATACCAATTCGATATATAGACAAATTATACAAAACCCTCGAAACTAAAAAAAATTAATTAATATTATATTAATTAAAAAATGTAGAATAGATTTTTATTTTAGAACAAATTTTTTTAAATAAAAAAACTATAATTTTATAATAGAGAAAATATTAATTAGATAATTAAATTTAAAAATATGCATTAAAAATTAAAATTTCTCATTCATTTTAATACACTTTTATTTCAATAAATTATTGATTAGAATCGAAATAAAATTTTTACTCGTTTTTATCTAAATCCTCGTGCAAAACGTGGAACAGTGCACCCAACTCATTGCATATAACGACAAGTATTAGTTTATAAGGAAAATACTACTGCATGGGTTCAAAGTTTTAGTAGTATACTTTAAGATATAACTCTAAGAGATAGGTTTGTATGATTTTAAATATAATATATTTTTGTGTCAAAAAATATATAATATAATTTCTTCCATTCTAAATGTTGGTTTTTGGAAGAAAAAAATAAATATTTATAGTTAATAATATTCCTTTTTTTACAAGTTTAATACTCCGTGTCTCCATGTGTTCCTAGTAATAGGATAATGCTAATAAATATCATTAGAGATTTGTTTAAAAACTAAAAGATATTACATGAATAAAGAATGTATTTATAGTATAGACGAATATTTAACATGCTTTTAGGCAAAATTTATTTTTATTAACTCATTAAGTAATGTCTTTAGAGTACTAGTTAATAATAATAATAATAATAATAATAATAATAATAATAATAATAATAATAATAATAATAATAATAATAATAATAATAATAATAATAATAATAATAATAATAGATTTTTTAGCCACTTTAAAATATTTATTATAATTATTCATAAATAGTACAAACAGCACCAGAGCCACATGCATCTTCCGAATATCAGCAGAAAAACTAAAACACTCGATTGATGATACAAATAGTTGAGTTTTGGATCCTTTGGTTTAACGGATGAACAAACCTTTTTGACCTGAAGTGACTCCACCTCCAAGATAGGATTTTAGCCACAACTACATTCCTCTCAATCTCTAAATCTTCACCTTTAAAGACTTTATTATTTATAGCTTTCCATATAGACCAAGCCGCTGCAGTCCATATGCACGCCTGAAACTTTTGAGACGCTACACCTCATCCAAGTAACCCTACAAAGTTATCGAAATTCGCAGTTGTCTCTTGAGGAAGGTCAGTATGAAAATCCAACCAAGAAAGGAGCTCTGTCTAAACAGACTTCAAGCAATAACAATCAAATAATAAATGAGAAATGGATTCACTCTCTTGGTACCCAAAAGGACAACGCTCACTACCGCCCCTTAGAATACCTAACTTTCTAAGGTTATCTCTGGTTGGAAGTTTGTTTTGCAACACACGCCATAAAAACACTAAAATGTTGCAAGGAAATTTTTTGTTCCAAATGAAATTGCAAAATGCAATAGTATTAGCCCCATTCCTATCTATCAACTCCTTGTACACTTCTTTCACTACGAATCGGTTTGGATCACCCAAATAGCCTCCACCTAACTCAAATTTATCTTTGAACCAATTAACTCTTCCACCCCACCCATCGGCATAGAGGGAAGTCAAATCCCTCCACCAAAAAGAACCTTTATCAATATTATCTTTATTAAACTCTAAGGAATTCCCATATTTGAAAGATAGAACTTTAAACCATAAGCCATTATTACTAGTTTTCAATCTCCAAAGCCATTTCCCGACTAATGCCATATTAAACACTTTAAGATTTGATTTGGAAGGTGTAACTAGAAAAGGCAATTTGATGTCAAAGAAAGTAATGGGTTAACAAGTGAGTAGATTGATTGTGTGGCCAATATTTATGAGGTGAGTCACTTATATGCATCATGCATTTGTTATTTTCACCGAGGTGATTTTGGGATCATTATTATATAAATATGTGTTTGTTGTCTTGAATAAATAATTTTGATAGGTGTTCAAATTTATCGAATTTGAATACGTTATATATAGTTCACGTCATTTTTCGTAAAACTAAGGAACATCGAAGCTCAAATTGTGTTTCAAACATCTTAGATGAACAACTACTCCAGTAGTGTTTTGAACGTCATTCAACAGACAACAAACTCTTTTTCGCTTCATAAACTATGTGAAAGATGATGTCCTATTTCACAAGCCATGTAAAATAATAGGAGCTCAAATTTTTATGACGAGGTCTAGACGAACTTCTATCCTATCTAGTGTTTCGAGTGTCCTTGACGAATGACTAATCTGTTGCCCGCTAAGGTAAGGTCTTACAAAATTTATCCACCTTTCTTCTATCGTGTACTTACCCCCATACATTTTGAATAACTTAATAGCAGGCCATAGGAATCAAGGTTTCCACGTATTCAATTCACTTTTTCTCTGAATCATTATATTGATTTCTACCAAAGGTTGAAGTTATATGATACTTCCGAAACTTCCTCACTGACAACTTCTTTATAACTCATAGGGTTTCCTCACTTGCCGGATATTTTTCTTTAGGTAAGCATACACATAAATACACATCATTAGGATTTCACAGTTTTCTTCTAAATGACTTAACCCTTAGACTTTCACTATTACCATCATCAACCAGATGATCGACTTTCATTTGATTCTTCTTAGTAATCCTTATCACTTAATGAATATGAGTATCAAGAGTTTCATGTGTGGTGGCCTCACTTGATCACTCATATTCTTCCATGAGGCCTTGTTAATTTAACCAACTAGGGTTTCACATGTTAATGTAATAACATTCGTGCATGTATGTAACTAGGAGTGTTCACAGTGCAGTTTGAGCAGTTTTAACGCTAAAAGTCATTCGATTTGCAAGAGAAAAAAGTGTGTTGTTCGGTTTGGTTCGGTTGACTTTTAGAAATAAAATCGAACCAAACCAAACCAAACCAATGCGGTTTGGATTGGTTCAGTTAGTTAGGTTTTTCACAATATTTTTAGTGAATCATACATACACATATAGAGAAAAAACATAACTTTGTCTTTAGTTATTCATACATTATCGATTTACAACAAAACTCATCATATTTGAACAACAACTTCGCATTTAATATACAAAAATCATATTAGACAAAAGTGGAATAAAAAATATAAAATAGTAACATAAAAATATATCAAAAATATTATGATGAAACATAAAAAGAAAACAAAGGAGAGGCGAGATTAGAAATGGTGAAAAAGAAAGAACATCAGAGATGAGAGATTATAGAAGAAGATATGCGACAAAAAAATTGGAAGAGAAAATAGTAGCATAAGAATGAGAAGATGAAAAAGAAATAACATAAGAGATAAGAGATTAGAAAAGAAGAGGAAAGTTGTATTTAGCAAAGAAGATGAGAAGAAGGCGCAATACTGCTAAGAGAGATTTGAGAAGGCTGAAACTGAAACCATAAGTGTGAGGAAGATAAAATCATATGTAATCTTAAGGTTAAGGAACCATATGTTTGAGTTTGAGTTGCATGTGGTTAAGTAAAAATTGGGTTTTAACATAATGTTGTTTGGTTTGGTTCGGTTTGCAAGATACAGACTAAAGCTGAACTGAACCGCGCAGTTCTGTTATGAGATGGCCCAAACTGATCTGAACCACATGCGGTTTTTTGTGGATTTTCACTCCATCCCCTGTGACACTTTTCCTCATAGGACCGTCTTGTCTTGCATTTTCATATCATTGCATATCATCTGCATTCGGTGGTTTCTTAAGGCCAAAAATTCGTGCAATGTTTGTATTTAAGTCCCTCCTATCTCGCCGAGAAGAAGATTTCAATCTCCATATCTTCAGATAGAAGTAACTTAAATAGGGGCATCTGTCACACCCTAATTTTTTACCATAAGATCCCGTTTCTTTGTGCTTGCACCCTTTTCTTTTCCTTTTATTATTTATTTTTTGTATGTATGATTAGTATGACTAACCCGTTTGTGCAGATGCGTGGACTTCAAATGGAAGTCACACTCTTGTTCCTAATCAAAGACCTAGGGATTGAATATTCTCTTATTAAGGCATGATCATGTGAAGACTGACTGGGGTTACATAACAAGCTACATTTCAAATTGCACCCTTTATTCCTAAGGTTTCATCAGGGAATAATTATTATGTTGGAATCACCATCATCTAAAGGATTATCTAGTTTCTAATAATCCAAAGTGTTGCTTGTTGGTCAAAATATGGACTAAAGTCTCTTCAATTGGAATGTGACTACTTTTATGATTTAAACTAAGGACAACATGACATATAAGGCTAGGGGGGTCCTTTGGTTCAAGAATGACCAAACGAAGCCCATTCCCCAGTTCTTGTTTCTAAGCCCACGATATGGAATGCGAAGGGTGACGAGTTCACAAGCCTTGAACTAAAGCCCACCAAACTTTATGCTACATGGCTAAGTGCAATTTATGATATATAACTCATGCTAAATACACAAAGGAATATTATGAATGAAGTCTCGAATTTATGAAGCCACGACACAATTGTTTTGCGCTACAACATAAGGCCATAATCAGTTTTACTACAATTTCTCAAATAAGAAACTACCTGCTCATGAAAGCATCATAACATTATATACTTGCCTAAGCCATACATTTTCCTAACCATCACAAAGCCAAATAAGTCCAGAACATTACTATCAACCTTAATTCAAAGACATTACAAAAGAAGTCATTAATATTAATACAGAAACAGGGCTCTGGAACATTAAGATTCGTGGTGAGAGTCTAAGATAGTGACATGTTGGTAAAAATGCGTTTAGGCCATCTATCAAAGAATTTGTGCTGCTAAAATCATCAATTGTCGGTACTGCATATCTGTAACAGTTCTTCGGAGGAAGATCAACAAGGGAACTCATTGGATTCAATACAATCCTCACGTTTGGCTAAATGTATTTCCACAAAACTCGAAGAATTCTAGAACAACTTCTGGCTGGTTGGACTTAAAGGATCCAGAACCGCATCAATATGAATGCTATATTTTTCACTGCTTAGAATAATGGTATTGTGTTGATCACTCAAAACCTCAAAGCAAGCACTTTCAGAACTTCGCTCTCTCATAGACATTGAAGATGATACAGACATGACATTATCACTAATGAACTTGCTTGACAGCATGGTTGATGTACTGCTCTGCTGAAGATCTATGTGAAGCAAATCCATCATCATAAGTCCCAGACCAAGCTTTTGTGGCTGCCATTTTGTCTTCATAACAGGATTATCAGTTAGCTGAAAAGATGATGCGCTTTGTGCTCTTAGGACCAGGTTGAATCAGTTTTAGAAGACGTTCCGTTCATTTTTTTCGCGTGGTGCTTCAAGGTAATGGTAGTAGTAAATTGGTGCAGCAAAATCACAATACTGCAACAAACCAAAGAGGAATTCCTTCTGCACAGGATTTGCTTGGAAAATCCCCATCAAGTCAAGATCTCTGCATAGGCCTTGTTAGTCCTCAGACTTTGCTATCTGCACAATGTTCAATTGGTCCAGACCTCAGACTATGTTATCCTATTGACTTTGAAGAGGCCTTCGATGCACCATATGAATTCGTTGGATTCACTTGGGAGCAGGGAATCACATCTGCGCCTGGTGTTGCTAAAGATTGAAATTACATATAAAGAGAATGTTCTGAAAGTGTAAGATATACTTAAATTAGAAACACAAGCAGACAAGTAACTTTCATTAGTTTCTTTCAAAAAACATCAGTACAGACACTTAGAGAACAAGCTCACATGATGAGGAATTAACAGCAATAGACTGAGCTCTCAAATTTGATACAGCGAATGGACCGTGGGAATCCATTATCGTTTGCAACTCTTGCGAGGCCTGCAAACAGGAGAAAGGCATGACAGACCAGTGCACCAGCAGTCACACCAGCCAGGAAAGCAACAGCTGTTAGTACAGTCTCAGATTAACCAAATGAACATTAATGATATGAAATGCAACAAGGAATAGGTGTTAAGCCAGAAGTGTTTCAACAAATATTACCTCAGGTCAAAACTCTGATTATGCCCATCAGCAGCCAAAACAGGGGAGTCCATCTCAGGCTGCTTCACCCAAACTCTTTCAGGTTGCGTCTCCTCAAATCCCACAACACTTATTGACCAACGAACTCATCTCTAGTAAAGTGGCAACTCCTGGGATGTCAGCCTCTCTTTTATTGACAAACTTTAGTGGTCTAACTTGTGCGCATTTTTAATTACTTTAGCAGTTATCTCCTTCAGAGGCTTCTCAGCAGGAGGAGTCAGCAGCAATAACCAATTTCAAGAAACCAAAGAATCCACTTCCAAGGAAAGCTCAGCATACAGTAGATGAAGTTGTCAGAGCTCCCCTTCATTTGTAACTACCAACCTACACTCCATACTCAAGCCAAAGCCACCTATACCAGCGTGAATTGATACTTTTTTCTTCCATCAACTTCAAGAAAACCATGAGAAAACTAGCTGAGAACATGGAAGGTAAAAGAATGTCAGGAAGCCAAGAACCAATTCCTTAAAGGTGTTGACCGTAAGTGTAAACATAGGAATTCGACTTTCTGAAACTCTTACCGTAATTTCCTATTGCCTTTTTTCCAAGGAGTTCTACGTGGAAGGATGTTGAGACGATTTGGGAGAATTAGTGTAATTGTCAAAGTTGCCCTCATCAGCATTTTCAAACCTGTCAAATCAAGCAACATTTTCCTCACATTAACCACCAAAATCAATCAGTTGCAAAAGAATAATGAGACATCAAGCATTAAACAT